TCTCAGGACCCCCCAGAGTGTTGGAAGCTTTTTGTCGGCGAAATGTGGAAACTTTTTGTTGATGGAGCCTCGAACCGTCACGGTGCTGGGCTGGGTATAGTTCTGATTTCGCCAAACGGACTGATTATTGAACATTTTATCACCCTTGGCTTCCTAGCATCCAACAATGAGGCCGAGTACGAGGCGCTATTGGCCGGTCTCAAGAGCGCGCTTCGGATGCAAGCATCCGAGCTAATGGTTTACAGTGATTCCCAGCTTGTGGTTAACCAAGTTTCTGGGCTTTACGAGGCAAAGGATGACAGAATGATGAAGTACCAAGCTCTGGTCAGAGACCACATCAAGCGATTTCAGGCGATCAGGGTCCAGTAGATTGGCCGAGAAGAAAACTGCCGAGCAGATGAGTTGACTGGCCTTGCTTCTATGGTCGACAACACATCTCCCAAACCTCTTTTGATTGAATTCCTTTCGCGGCCCAGCATTGAGGAAATCGGGCAGACAGAAGTACTCTGCGCCGAGCTAGGTCCTTCTTGGATGGACCCTACAATTCTCTTTCTCAGAGAACGGACCCTTCCAGCCGACAAGAAGGAAGTGCATAAAGTGCGGGTGAAGTTTGAGCGGTTTTGGCTCTCTCCATCAGGCGCTTTATACAAGAAGTCTTTCACCGGTCCCTACCTGAAGTGTGTGCACCCTAGCAGCGTGGAAGCCTTCATTTGCGAAATTCACGAAGGCATCTGTGGCAGTCATATAGGGGGCAGGTCCTTGGCCTACCGAGCTATTTCGCAAGGCTACTGGTGGCCGTGCATGCAAGCCGACGCCCAGAAATATGTTCGTAAGTGCGAGAAATGCCAGAAGTTTGCCCACTAGATCCACCAGCCGGCCAGGGAACTTTTTCCCCTCACTAGCCCTTGGCCCTTTGCGATGTGGGGGCTAGATATAGTGGTGGCGCTCCCAATAGCACCAGGCAACCGGAAGTTCTTCATCGCGGCCACAGACTACTTCACCAAATGGGTTGAAGCGGAACCTTTGGCAACAATCAAGGAGAAAGACGTGAAGTGGTTTGTCTGGCAGAATGTGGTCATGCGGTTTGGCGTCCACAAAATTCTGATCTCTGATAACGGCACCCAATTTGACGGCTGCCTATTTAGGGGGTTCTGTGAAGATTTGATGATCTAATTCCACAACTCTACCCTAGCTTACCCGCAGTCCAACGATGAAGCCGAGGCTTCGAACAAGACCATTCTTGATGGACTGAAGAAGAGGCTTGAGAAAGCCAAAAGAAAGTGGGCTGAGGAACTCCCCAGTGTCCTTTGGGCATACCGAACAATCTCGCGGCGATCTACCGGGGAAACTCCTTTTGTTTTGGCATATGGCATGAAGGCGGTCATCCCTTTGGAAGTTGGTATGCCCACCCTCAGAAGTGAAAGTTTTGAGCCCGAGCTGAACACCGAAGCCATTGCCTTGGAATTGGACCTAGTGGAAGAACGCTGGGAAAAGGCTCTTATCCATGTGGCCGCCTACCAACAAGAGCTTTCAAGGAAATACAACAAAACCGTGCACCCCAGACCGTTCAAAGTGGGTGATTGGGTCTTGCGGAAGGTCATGGGCAATACTCTGGTGCCAGGCGAAGGAAAACTAGGGGCAAATTGGGAAGGACCCTACAAGATAACCGGTTTGGCGGGCAAGGGGGCATATCACTTGGAGGACTTGGATGGTAGAGGAATACCCCGGCCATGGAATGCAGCCAAATTCAAGTTGTATTATTTCTAGCTTTCGCTCTCTTTTTTTTGTGCAAAGGAATTTTTTGCCTTACACTTCATGTAATATTCATTTTTGTCAATATATGGAAGTGACTCATATTTGCCTTAGCATTTTTTATTGCTTTGCGTTTTGCGTATTCTCAACCGAGATGTTTACTCCGGTTGAAAGAGTTGATGTTTTGTTCAACTAAGGTACCCTCAACCGAGATGTTTACTCAGGTTGAAAGAGTTGATGTTTTGTTCAACTAAGGTATTCTCAACCGAGATGTTTACTCCGGCTGAAAGAGTTGATGTTTTGTTCAACTAAGGTACTCTCAACTGAGATGCTTACTCAGGTTGAAAGAGTTGATGTTTTGTTCAACTAAGGTACTCTCAACCGAGATGTTTACTCCGGTTGAAGGAGTTGATGTTTTGTTCAACTTAGGTACTCTCAACCGAGATGCTTACTCCGGTTGAAAGAGTTTATGTTTGGTTCAACTTAGGTACTCTCAACCGAGATGTTTACTCCAGTTGAAAGAGTTGATGTTTTGTTCAATTTAGGTATGCTCAACCGAGATGTTTACTCAGGTTGAAAGAGTTGATGTTTTGTTCAACTAAGGTACCTCAACCGAGATATTTACTCAAGTTGAAAGAGTTGATGTTTTGTTCAACTAAGGTACCCTCAACTGAGAATGTTTACTCAGGTTGAAAGAGTTGATGTTTTGTTCAACTAAGGTACCCTCAACCGAGATGTTTACTCTGGTTGAAAGAGTTGTTTTGTTCAACTAAGGTACCCTCAACCGAGATGTTTACTCCGGTTGAAGGGGTTGATGTTTTGTTCAACTTAGGTACTCTCAACCGAGATGTTTACTCCGGTTGAAAGAGTTGATGTTTTGTTCAACTTAGGTATTCTCAACCGAGATGCTTACTCCGGTTGAAAGAGTTGATGTTTTGTTCAACTTAGGTACCCTCAACCGAGATGTTTATTCCGGTTGAAAGAGTTGATGTTTTGTTCAACTAAGGTATTCTCAACCGAGATGTTTATTCCGGTTGAAATACTTGATGTTTTGTTCAACTCTGGGTGTACTACCGAGATGATTTATTCTGGTTATATGAGTTAATTAATGAAAATTTTCTTGGCGAGATATTTTGTCCGGTTGAAGTTACTCAACTCTAGGACTGTGCAAACACTTGGTGAAACTAGATTTTTTTCATTAATGAAAAAAGAAGTACAAAAGGAGGGGCAGAGAGCCCGGTTACATGTGCAAAGCAAAAAAACAAAAAAAGAAAGAAAGCTAAGCTAATGGGGAAAGGTTGGTGAATTCATCCTTGGTTGCCTCCAAGTTGACCGTTGGAGATTGGTCTTGGGCACCGGGCTCACTTCAGCCGGGCTGCTCCTACTCTTGGTGGTCCTCTCCCTCAGCATCTGCCTCAGCCTCTGCTTCAAGACCTTCCTCAGCTTCAGCCTGCAACATGCTGAAGACGTCGTTGGCATATGGAATGAGATAGGTCGGTAAGAAGGCAGGCGGCGGAGTGGCAAACACGTCGGTATCAAGATCTTGACCGAGATGTTCGCAGGCAGACTTCCAGCCCGCTTTGAAATAAATGTCTTGAGTTACGAAGACCTGCTTCTTGTAGCTGTCCTTAGCTTCCTTGAAGCCGGCGTTGTTGGCATCTTCGTACTCCTTCTCCCTTGACTTCTTGATTGCATCCAGTTCGGCCTGGAGCTCGTCCCTCTTCTTTTCGGCTTCGTCAAGCTGGCCGAGCAACCTGTTGTTGTCAGCATTGGCGATTTGAAGTGAGGACTTTGCTCGGCCAAGCTCGTTCGCCTTTTGCCGCAGTCGATGGATGCGCTCCATGACCAAGTGTTGCTTTTGGATGGCCTGCAAGAAGAAAATTTGATCAGAGAAGAAACCGTGCAAACACTTGTAAAAATTACAGTAGAAGATTGAGATTCTTACCCTGGCCATGGACTTCACGGCGGATTTCACCAACCGGGTGTCAGGGACGTGGTCACTGCCAACCACGTCGCTCGGCAGCAAAAGGGCTTTTGAAAGGTCGAAGGCGAGCAAGTGCTCCTTATCACCCTTGACAGAAGCGTTACCCGAGATGTCTTTACCCCAGTGTTTCAGCTGCGGTCGCCATGATGGTATGGGGTCGGCGGTGACGGCGGGTTGCTCGGTGGTTAGCTCGGCAACCAACTCGGCAGATGGGTCTGCGCAAGGTCTTTTGCCAGCCCGGCGAGTCTATTGTCTGGCCTGCCCGGCGGTTGGAGATGCCAAGGCAACCACGGGGCCGCTGGATTGACCGGCAACTGGCGGGTGGGTAATGATGCTCGGTATCTCGGTTGAAGTGGCTGTGAGGAGGTTCTTGATGCGGCTTCATTTGGCCATCTCTTATTCTTCGGTCAACCGGATTAGCGGCACGTCCGGTAGAGTTGGGTCTGGAGGAGGTGCTGGAGCACGTAGAAAGTCTATAACCTTGCTCCGGCATGGAGCTGAGTATCTGTAGGTTGGAGTGTAGCCGAGCAACTCATTACAATCCCGGTGGCTGTAACGGAGCACGGTCCGGATGGCTTCTACGTTGGGATATTGGTAGTTGGAGTGCAAGGCTTGAATTGCTGCAAAAGAAACAGGAAAAATGGTTAAGTACAGAATGTTGCAGGCAGGAAATTAACCGAGCAAATTAACGCGGTTTACATGTGGAACCAAAGTTCTTGCTGATGAACCTGCCCGGTACGTCGGCTGTTTCATAATTGCTAGACACCCAGAAGAAGTCGTCATCATATAAGTCCTTGTCTGGGGTGCCGGTTACTATTTTCTCTTTGCCCGGTCTTATTTTTAAATAATAGGCCAGGCCGTCGCCGGTGTGCCCATGGGTGTATTGTCGTAGTATCTCGGCTAAACCTAAGTTTGTTCCTAGCCGGTTGTTTAGCTTGTGCACGCCATTGATTATTCGGTAAGTATTGGTCGAAACTTGGGTGGGTGCTAGCCCGGTGCGGCGCAGAAATTCGGTTATCAAAGGGTTGACCGGGAAGCGGAGGCCTCCTTCAATTACTGACAGCACGGTGAAGGGGCATTGGTCAAGCCTGCCCCAAGGAGTTGTTTCCATCTCGGCGAGCTCTATATGGACATCTGCCGGGATACCGTATTCTTCCCTAAAGATGGCCAAGGCAGCAGGTGTGTCCACAAGGAAGCGGAATTTCCCCATGTGTGACCGACTAATTTAGCTCGGCTGAGGTGGTTTGGCATAGGCTGGGAATTAATGGCTGCTCGGTCATTGAGAGCCTCAGAATTGGTCTTTGGTCCCCTTGGACTCTGCAGGAAAACGGAGGGTAATTGTAAGTGGGAACGCGGTCGCGCAAAATGAGCTAGACTTGAGCTCGGTCATGGATTGTGCCAAATCACCTCGGTCGTAAAGGCTAGCCAAGGAGCTCGGTCGCTCAAGCGAACCAGAGATTAGCCCGGTCGAGCGGCCAAGTCCTTTTTGCTACCCCGATTTCTACTAAGGTTGGGACAAACTAAAGATTTGCTCGGTCTGAGTGATTTTTGGGATCGGATGAAGATCTGGAGCCCGATCCGCCCCAAACCTTCATTGTTCATCAGGGAAATTGAAGAACAGCGAAGAAACTAAGGGGCATTGAAGGTTTTGGGTGGGGGAGGCCCTAAAACCTACGAATTTGGTGCTATAAAGAAAAAAATATGAAATGAAAATAGTAATAACAAGGGCTGGGGGACTTACCAATGAAAGGTAGAGGCTCCTTCTTCGAACGCGAGTTCAGGGATGGTGAGAGAGAAAGGGCAAGAGCTCAGAGACGCTTGAAACGGAGGAATGTCAGTGAGAATGAATCAAAGAGGGAAAGGGTATGTTTATTGAGGAAGAAAAACCGCCCAAATTCGAATTTCAGGAGACGGCTGGGTTGGCTGCTCGAGGACCAATGGGAGATTGACACGTGACCCCATTAATGGCAGCGTCAGAGTTGAAGAGACAGGAAGGTCAGACGAAGTGTTGACCGAGCAAGACAAGGAACCGAGCGCGGAAATTAGCCTGGTTTGCCTCTTGCAAATTATCAACCGTGGAAGAGTTTATCCCGGTCGGAACAGGTAATCCCGGTCACGCTGGTGCGAACGGAATTAAGGGGTAATTGAGAGGGAAAAATATGGTCTGGATTGGGCCATGGTAATACCAGGCAAATTGTGGGCTGAACACATTTGGGCCGTGGTATCCCGGGTCCAGCCAGAATCGATTTTGCTCTGTAATGGCAAGGGCATGTGGGACCGAGCTACTTCACCTTGTCGGCATGGAGGCCGGTCAAGTAAGGGTTCCACGGTTTATGCGTTGCGCGATTGGAAATCACGCATCTATAGCTCGACGGGAAGGCTCATGCCTGAAGCTCGGCAGGAAGGACTTTGGTTGACCGGTATGACTAATCTCAAGCTTGGTTTCGCCAGAATGCAGTCGAGCATGGTTGGAAAGGAGCTCGGTTGTTGGGGGCACTTGGGCATGAATCGCAGCATGGCCGTTGACAGCCGAGATCCTACAGCCCGGCTGCCGAGCTCCCAATACAGTGGCCTGGCAGTCGGGTTAGGTGATGTTCAGTAGGATTTGTGCTGAAAAATGGAATAGCAGCACCACGTGTCGAGAGACGAATGTGAGTAGATTTGGGGCGCAGAAGGTATATAAGTAAGTCTGCGCCCCCCATGCTGTGATAGATGAATATTGGGTAAGAGAAACACTTGTACTCAACTCTCTCCTCACTCTCTCTATCCTCAGGTGTATGCTAACTTGGTCGTCGGAGGAGTTTTCCGGCCACACACTGTCAGGTAGCTCACTGTTGTTGTGCACGCAGGTGATCGGACAGAAACAGAGCTTGAAAGAAAGGAATACGGACTTTCCTAAATATTTACTCCCCGTACAAGTATATTTATCGTTGGATGATGTAATAATTTTTTTTATCACAGATATAAAAGAAAAAAAATGATAACTTAAAATTTATTTATTTTTTTCTTAAATTTTATGTTCCATCCAAACATACCCTTAGGTCTCGTTTGAAAATAGACTATTTTAATATTTTTTTGACTTTTTTGTTAAAATACGAGGTAAAAAAACTAGTATGTTTAAAATGACTTTTTAATTTTTTACGAAAAGATGTACAAAAAGTAGAGAGAAAATAAAATCTTTGACTTTTTGGTATAAGTTATAGGTTTTTTAGTTTTTTTTAATAATTTTTTAACTTTTAGGCTAAACAAGTACATGTCAAACGAGGCCCTAGTCTAGAAATTTTCAAATAATGTATTGTACATTATTATTTGAAATCCATTATATTGAAACTCTCATGTGCCGTTTGGATGGATAATTTTAAATGAAATGATTTGAGGTTGAGTTTAAAAAACTAGAAGTTAAAATAAAATAAGGTCCAGTTAGAATAGAGAATTATATTATTCGGACAATAGTGGAAGTATAACTTTTATTATAAAGGGTTTCAAATAACTATATTTATATTAATATTTCAAATTCATTATGAGAAATCTGTCAAATTCAATTGCGAAAATCATATCTAAGTTATTCTTGAACAATTATAGTGCTTAAATCCTTAATCTATAAATCCGACTCTAATTCAATTTAATCTTGAATATATCTAAACTAAAATTTAAATTCACATGCAAAAAACCATTTCATAAGAAGGTGGGTGTTTGTATTTACACCATTCTGATTTGTGAGAGAATAGTAAATTAGTATGGTGTAAATGAATGGGGTAAATATTGGATGTAACATTAATATTACATAATGAAATCACATCTAATGAGTAATTTTAATTTGTCGTAAAAATTACAATATTATTAGGGTGACAAGAGATAAGACTTTTCACTTCTCATTTGTAGTAGAATGGTGTTACATTATATTCAATATTTTTCTCAAATAGATGCACCAAAAGAGGATTGATATATTGTTGTATTTTTTACTATTTTATATCACTAAGTTAATATGATAAAATATTATTTATTTTTATTATATTCTCAATAATTATTTTAAAAAATAAAAAAATTCAAATGAATAATAAAAAGAAAAAAGGGGACATTTACACACATATTCTAATTTAGGAACTTATATTTCATTAAGTTCTAACTAAGATTTTTTGAACATTCAGTCTCATTAAATTTTTAATAGTCAAAATTACCTTTCAAACAATGATTGTTCATCATTTATTATTATCTATAAAAGAATATAATGATTTGACGTTTATTTTGATTTTCAAAACTTTAAAATATTAACTTTCAAAATGAAATTTTTTGAAAAAAATTATGTGCCATTTTTTTTTTGAAAAAATTGAAATATTTTTTTGTGCAAAACTAAAAATTTTGTGTCTTTAAAGGAGTATGATGATGGAACATTGATGTGAAAAATTGGGGAAAAAAAACTTTAAAAATGAAAAAATTGATAATGTTCTCAGTTTTAAAATTGAAAAAAATTGATAATGTTATTAATTTTATTGGATAGTTGAATCAAACCAATAAGTAGAAGGGAAAAAACATTTAATTTCATGTTCTATTTTTTTTTTCCCCATTAGTTAGTGAAACAATTATCTGAAACATTGCTTAGCAAAATTAATAATATTCTTAGTTTTAAAAATTGGAAAAAACTGATAATATTCTCATTTTTATTAAATAGGACTTATTGGTTCAAAAAATCTTAGATAGAATCTGAGCTACCATAACATTTGTAAATAAGACTTTTAGGTAAGTCAAGAAAAAATTGGTGAAAAATTTCTTTTTTGGGGTGTACATAGCATTAGGTTCAAGAATTATTTTATTTTGGTGATAAGCATATGATTAATGAAATTATTTAGTGAGAAAACAAATTATTGTTTTGAAAGCTTTTTTTTTTTTTTTTAAAAAAAAATTTTACCCCACTGCCGTTAGACTGTTAGACCACCGTTGGCCAATCACCAGAGGTGGGTGGTGGTGGTAGTGGTGGTGATATGGATAGATTGATGATACGTGGATAAATAGGGAATGGCATACAGACAGATATGTGACGTGCATAGATATATTGACGGTAAACAAATAGATAAAATAGATAAGGATAATATAATTTTTTAAATTGTTTGAATTTTTAACCTCAAAAAAATAGAATTTGAAACTCTTATCAGACAAATTTTAAAATTAAATTTAACTTGAATGCCGTTATATAAATTGATGAGAAAAATGATCACATACTGCGTTTTTCTTTCTGACTGGAAGAGCGCATCAAGCGCATGCATACCAGCAAATGGGCCCATGACTATGCAGTTGCTCAGAACAATTTAATGACAAATGTATATCTTTCGGAGCTATCTTCTTTTTCTTTCTTTTAATACCATTTTTGTATATTTTCTTTAAATTTTTATTTCAAAAAGCAATTAATAAACATCAGATTTGGGTTGTCATCTTGAAAGGAGATTAGATTTCATAGGAAGAGGACCACAACCTACTGTGAATGGCAGCTCCAGTGCGTCTTTTTACAAAACATTTTACTTATTTTTTTGTTTCAATGGCAGACCCTCCAGAAAGCAACCCTCCTCAAAGCCTTAAATATGAAAAACAATAACAAACAAAAACAATAGAGAGGCACAGAAGAAGAGTCTGTGTGTACGTTTTTAGGATTGTTTAAGAGTCATCAGTGACGCACTAGTGTCCAAATACTGACTCATGCCAAACCCCCTAAACAACAGTGTCAACCCTTTTGCTCCCTTTATATAAACCCCTCACCACCACCACAACCACTTCCATATTTTAAGTATTGTTTTTTAAAATGTTTTTTTTTTTAAAGTTGTTTAAGTTAAAAAAATTAGCTGTTTAGTTACAATTGAGATTTTTCTTTACACAAAATCCATCTATGTTTGACATTTTCCCAAAAACAAGTCTTGATTTTTTTTTTCTAAATTTCATCTATAGTAATTTGTCTTAAAGAATTATCAGTACGGTAAAATTGAACGAGAAAAACACTAGTATCACTACAAGAAAAAGCATTTTTGCCGACCACTTTTAGCTACCAAAACTAATTTAGTCGCCAAAAGTCACGGAATTGGCTACCAAAAATAATATTAGTCGGCAAAAGTCAACTTTTTAGCTACTAATTTTTTTTAGTAGGAATATGATCGTATTAGGTAGTTGAGATTAAATATATAAAATTACGTAAAAGTCATTATGTCGAATGTGACTTTATTTATATTGTAAAATGAGGGGCAAAATAATTATTTTATCGCCAATTCCATGTGATTTGGATTTGAATACTACCTCCTCTATGGGACTGCTAGTCTCCTTAGTAGAAGATATTCCCAATCGCTTGGGATAAAGGATT